AAGTTGTGCTTCAGTCCCTGCACATATGACACGTTTCTGATAGTGACGCTCTCACAAATGACATCTCCTATCCCGAGTATGGGCGATGAAGCATTGTTCCCAAACCTCACATTTCCTCCAAACCTTTCAGAATAGTTGCTCAGTAGTTCAATCTGTCCAGTCATGTGTGACGAGCAACCCGAATCAAGATGCCACACATGACTGACCTGCAAAACAGATTAGTTTCGCTTAGGTACCCATCGCCAGATGGGTCCTTCCTTATCAACAGTGAGCAATTGTTTCAACTTATTTTTGATTTGGGATCCTAGGCTGGCTGATTGAGAAGAGTTTTTCATTTTTAATTGTTCTGCTTCAGCCTTAGGAACCCATTTTTGTTTGATTTGATTTATTTTTGGAGCGAGGGAACTTGCATTCGTCCTAAGTGATTGTTCAGATAAGTGGTCTTTCAAGATTGGTTCACGTGATAGCCTTCTCAGATGTTTGACTGAGTGAATCTTGAGAGGATACCTTAAAAATGGCAGTTTGACCTCACTCTCAACATTCACCCTATCAATCTTGGGTTTATTCACAACATTATCAACAATCACAGGATCATTTGGTTTGCGAGAAGAAACAGACTCAAAACAACAACATTTCATTGATTTAACACAATCCAGAGAAACACATTTAGTACAACGATTCGAGGCAGAAATCTTAGAACTAGAAGACTTAGGAGCCACTCTCTTAGCATAACTAGTAGATGGCTCACTAATGCTAGAACTAGACTTATTCTTAACATAGAAAATGGCGCTCGACCGCTGACTCTTATTGCTTAATCTCGACTCTTCTTCTCTCTTCTTCCTTCTTATTTTGTCTTCAATCCACTCTCCTTTCTTCTCGACTCTCTTCTTCACATCTTTCCCTGTCGGAGAATGAGACTTGGGGTGAGAAGGAGATGTCTTAAAACTATCGCTTGTATTTTCAGAGGTGTTTTCAGAAGTAGAAGGAGAAGAGGATTGAGAAGCTGTGTTAGACTGAGAGGCGGTTTTCAAAGAGGTTATTTCTTTTAAAAGTTCATCCTTTTCTTTTTCTAAAACCTGCTTTTCTTTTTCAAAAGAATCTTTTAACTCAGCAAACTTTCTCACCAATGGTGGAATGTAAGCTGGTTTCTCAATCGGTTCAGATGTGGAAGCCTCCTCTCCGTCTTTCTCAGCTTCCTTTTCAGGAGGATAGGTCAAGATTTCTTCTGCAGGGGTCAAAGGGAGTGCTTTGGTTTTGTAGCTCTTGTTTAATTCTGTGTAGTCAAAAGGAACCTCTACACCAGCCTTTGTCTTTCTCTTTTCATCCTCAAGGGCATTCGTTTCTTCAGTTCCAGTGAAGGCCATGAGTTTGGTCAATCCTATTTTCATGTATCTAACATCATAGAGTTGTCTACAGTTGACCTTTTTCAGGTTCTGAGGATTGGTCAAACCCAAGCCTTCTTTGGCGTTATAGAAACGAGTGTCCTTAGGCTGGTTAAGGAAAATAGTTTGATCTGTTTGATCCCTTTTGGCTAACAGATCCTCAAGTTCTTTGATTTTAGTATAAAGTGCACCCCTTCTTTCCATTAGCAAGTTATTTACACCAAAAAGCCTAATTCTTTCCTTTTCTGTTGTTCTAAGTTTCTCTGCCAACTCTTTCTCACTCGCACTAAGTCGCTTATTCTCAGTTGTGAGCTTAGTGATTGTTTTCTCTGAATTGATTATCTTAATGTTTGAGCATGTCTGTTTTTCACGCAGTTGGTTATATACCTCATACAACCTTTTATAATTCGCCTCAAGCTCCTTAAATTTATCAGGCATATCTGTTCTAGAGCAAGTATGTACAGATGAATTAGAGGTACTTACTTCATCGTCGGCATTTCTGTTTTCAGCAGTCAGGGCAGTCATTTCATCAGCATTGGTTGCAGTAGGCAGGTTCTTCTTCTCCTCAGCTTTGTTTTCTTTCTTCTTTTCCTCAGCAGCAGGAGTTGACTTCATCTTTCCTTCCTTCTCAGCATCTTTCTCTTTCTCTTCTTCTTCAACAACCGCCATCAAGGCCAAATTCTCTTCCTCGTCAGAGTCATCCATCCAGTGGTCTTTCTCAGCCATGAGAGCACTCTTTTCCTTGTTTTCTTCCATAGCCAGCAACATCTTCTTCTTGTTCAGGTACATCTTCTGCTTGTAGTACTCAGCATCCTTCCTCCTCTTTGGCATCCTACAGTCCTTCATTAGATGTCCAGTCTTCCCACAATTGAAGCACTTTGGAGCATCCTCAGCAACAACATTTTCAGATGATTCAAAAGATCGCTCTTTTCTCTTGTTGTTGCTGGAAGAGGACTTGCGGAGCCTGTTGTTGCTGGTGGGGTTTCTCTTTCTCTGTAGCTGACTATTGAATTTTGAGGTGAGGAGAGCTAGCTGCTTTTGCATATCGCGCAGCTCATCATCATCAGTCTCATCCCAAAATCCAATGTCGCTGTCAGCACTCTCACTTTCTTCAGCAATCATTTTGTCCTTCTTTGAGCCAGATTTGGATGGTTTGTCAAGCATTAGGGCAAGGGTGTCTGCAAGCTTGTCCACGGCTCCCTTCCCTCTTTCAGCTGTCACAGTAGCTACCGCAAAGTCTTCAAAATCTTCTGTGTATTGGCTCAGCGTGTTGTACACAGCATGAATATCCATCTCATCCAGATCCTTTGTGTGCCTGATCTGCGAAGTCAGCTTTCTCCAGTCAGCTCCAAGTGCAGAAAGGAATCTCACATTCAACTCCATGTTCGACTTATGCACATTAATCTTCCTCATCTCATTTATCAGCTGCAGAAACCTCAAGTAAGTGTCTTCCAATGACTCTCCGAGCTTTGCCTTAAATGAGTCGTATGCTGTAAATGTGCTGGCTTTCTTTGCTTTTACACCTATCTCTGTGCCTTGCATAATCTTAAAAATCTCGTCCCACATCTCCTTTGCTGTGGACATACTATCGATTTGCATGTATATGTCATTTGGAATGGCTTGCAAGAGATAGGTCTTTGCAATAAGATCAGCTCGGAGTCTTGCTCTATCCTCATCATCATATTCGTCAACAGTCTTCGGTCTCCATTCTATCTCAACCGGTGGATTGTTCCCATTGTCTCTTTCAACAGCAATCATGAGTTGTGCAGGTCCATTGGTGATGGAATCAAGAAGACCAGATGATTGGTCCTTGCTCTCTAGAAAGTTCAGAAATCGGTTCTTCCATACATTGTACTCCCCTCTTCGTAGAATCGGGGGTCTAGTGTCGTTTCCAATCGACAAAGCATCCATTTTAAAATTTGATCGGGCTGATCAGTTGATTGATTTGATTCTGTTCGGTTGTTAGGTAATTCCGGCAGAAGGTTCTTGTTCAGAAAAGTTGTAAGTGTGAGATCGCGCAAGTGTTGGAAGATCGCTCAACTTCAAGAATCGCTCAACTTTAAATGGCTCAACTCCAAAAACGCGCAGGGACAAGATCGCTCAAGTGTAGAGATCGCTCAAGTACAAATCTCTCAACAAAAAAATCTCTCAAGTCCAAAGATGGCGCAACTTCACAAATCGCGCAAGGGAGTTAGCGTGAAGTTGAAATCGCGCAGGGCTTCTGAAGATGGCGCAAGTCCTGTTCTGCCGAGGCTATAATCGCGCAAAAGGAGAAGTTGTGTGAAATCGAAATCGCTCAATTTGTCGAGACTGCGCAAGTCCGAAATCGCGCAGGGAGGATTGCGCGAACGTCGGGATCGCGCAGGAGATGTTGCGTGATTCTCGAAATCGCGCAGGAGTGGAGTTGCGTGTTCCTGTCCTTCTCTTCAAGCGAGTTGCGCGAAACAGCAGAATCGCTCAACTTCAGCTTCACCTGTACGTCAACTTTCAGATCGAGATTTTCTCCAGGAATGATCTCAGCAACATTAGAAACCCTTTCCTTCAAGCCATTTCCTGCAAAAACAACAACAAAAATAGAACAGAAGATCGCTCAACTTCGAATCTTCAACGATGAAGAAACGCGCAAGTGAGTTTTTCCAGCTTTCAATCGATCGATCAGCTCCGGCTCTGATACCAGATGTTAGGTCCCTGTTTTCTAGTCTATAAAATGTATGTATGGAAGATAGATCTGTGTATGAAGCTTTCCATTGATGTGAAGGTTTTACAGAATGATATGAGAGTTTTTAGCGTAAAAACCTTACACAGAAATAGGCTCTGCGGCACTAGAATATCGAAAAGCTTAACCTAGCCTTTCCCTTAAGGCATATTTATAGCCTGACGGGAAAGGTAGGTTTTACAATCATTTGGGCTCCTTTTTCTAGGAGGCCCATACCTAAAAAGGTATAAAACCTTTATTACAAAATTGCCTTAAAAGGCCTATTAATTATTCTAGCTAACTATAAACTAGCAAAGTAACATTGATCACAATTACAATGAAAATATCTCTAACAAAAACTCTCAAATAAGTCCTCGAACTTTCATAAAAAGGTCAATTAAGTCCTTCTATAGGAGGTTCTGTCCGGCCGTCGCGATTTGGGACAGTTCCCGGTAAAAAATTTTGACGAAATATTTTGAGCATCTTATTTACCAAGTCTAGTTTACTCATATCAAATTTCAGCTAAAAATTCAATCGGAAACACATTCAAATTAATTCTTGAAGATAACTGCGCATTTTTGCGTTCTCGAATTAATTTGAATGCGCGCCCGATTAAATTTTTAGCTAAAATTTGGTATGAGTAAACTAGACTTGATGAATAAGATCCTCAAAAAATTTCATCAAAAAATTCCAGCGGGAACCGCCCCAAATCGTGATGACCGGTCATAATCTCCTATAGAAGGACTTAATTGATTTTTTATGAAAGTTCGATGATCTGTTTGACAGTTTTCCTGATAAAAAAAAGTTATTCATTCAAACAAATACGGAGTACTAATCAAATTTTATGTAAAAAAAAAAATCAAAATTTCAATTGCCCTCACAAATATCCGTACTCACGTTAGGGTACACACAGAATATAGCTACGACTTGTTACCGCAGAATTTTATTTATAGAAAAGTCGATCGTTTTTATCGTCTCTCACTAAATGCTCCATGGATCCACTCTTGGGCTCCTTCAGTAATTAGTACTGTCCGAGACCTGACAATCTCTTTCGCTCTACTCTCTCTATCTAACCTTTACTTACCTTTATTTCCCCCCTCTAATGTTCTGAGTTGCTTCTCCTTCCCAGCCGCACCCCAGCCGCTTTGTACAGTTAGCTCAGGTAATTGAGCTGTGATTTGCTTCGTATTTTCGTGTTATGATTCGCTTGGTGTTTTAATATTCGTATGTTTTGAGAGCTAATTGTTATGAATTCATATTCTGGATCTCCTTCAAATCGGATAATTTTATCATTTCTAGCACTCGACAGACAGCAAAGTCTGCAATAGCTTTAATACCGGTTAGATATTTGTGTAGATCTGTGTTTATATTCGGGGGAGCTGATTTTTCTTCGTTGTAGCTTTACTCTTTGCTTTTTGCGCGTTACTAAAAACAGATCTGTGATTGTCTAGTAGTTGTGTGTTCGTACGGTGGATTGAAATCTCCAGATCTGAGGGTGCTTTTGTAATTAGAAGGGTCAAGAGTGTCAGGTGGCTTGTTTTTAGCCTTTCGGTTTGCTCAATATTTCTGTCAAGATCTAATCTCCTCTGTCTCCTCATCTCTCTTAAAAATCACAATACTAACCCGATAAGATTTGGATTTTGATTTCGGTTTTAATCATTTATCCTCACTCCCATACATGAGGAATTTTGTCTGGAGTTTTAATTAATCTACAGTTCTTTCCTCTTGTCCAGGAGTTCCTTTTTTTGTTAAATTTATTTACTGCAATTATCACAAAGGAGAATAAATATGAATCACTGTGGGATTCAGCAAAGTGCTCTGGTTTGCCCTAAGCCTCGCCGTCTAGGTCAGCTCAATGGTGACCTAAACGACCCCGTTAGGCCTTTCAGATGGTATTTCTGGTAATTCTATTTGACTTTTACGGTGTGTGGATTATGATGTCTATTTATGAAATAGTTATTGGCTTATTGCCAGGTAACTTGCAATTGATTTCTAAATGTTTTCCTTTGTGAGCAGCAATCAGCAAGAGGGGTCTGATTCAATGGCTGCAGCTGATATATTGGAGGATATCATTCTCATCAAGGTTAGTCCACTTTTTTCTAGTCACACTCAAACACTCTGGACTCACTATTTCACAAATTGTTGTTTGTAGATTATTCTCCCTTGGCCCCAAATTAATTTTTCATTTTAGCCAATATTTTCATCTCAAATTTGTGAAATAGTGAGTACTTCGTACGGAGTATTAATTTTAGAATTGTCATTTTTAGAATTACTGCATACAAAGTATTTCGTATTAATTTCCCAATTTTGCCCTTATTTACTTTTCTCAAATCAATTGCTATTTTGTCTTGAAAAGATATATGAAGCTTTTTTTTTGAATTCTTATAGGTATAAAAATGTCAGTTTGTAATATCCTTTAGTATGTGAGCATTTTCAAAAATGTCAATTAAATGCAAATTTGAGTTATAGGAGTGTGGATGTCTTATCTTAAAAGTATGACTTATTCTTTTCTAAAAGAAAATAAAAGTAGTATTCTTCCCCTTTTAGGGTTGGATGAGTCTTCTTTTTAGAAAGATGTAATGATGACACGCTTGAAGAAACATATTACTCCGTATGTTTTAGTCCTGTTTTCAGAATGTTCTCTAATTAATTTAGGAAAAGTTCCATGTTTTTGGGTTAGGCATGAAATGTTGTCCACCTGTTGACGTTTAATTACGACTTCTTAGTTCTTATGGTGATTATTTATTTTCCCTTTTGGGGGGTCTCTTGTTTTGTGCAGGGTGGTTATCATGGTGCAGAGCAAGCAACAGGACCACATCATGTAGCCTCGTCGCCCCCATTTTTTTGTGGGTCTCCGCCGAGCAGAGTGTCTAACCCAGTAGTTATGGATGCTAGGTTTGGGGATGAACAGCATATGTCTCCGGTTTCGCCTCGAGCAATCCCAATCCCCTCCTCCGGTGTTGTTTCGTCTCCGTCAGCATCCGCTAACCGTAAGGGTGGATGCGTGCGGGCAAGTTTTGGAAACAACCCGGCAGTGCGGGTCGAGGGTTTTGATTGTCTCGATGGGGATCGGCGTAACTGCAGCATCCCTGCCCTGGCTTGAGATGAAGATACAATCATCGCCCCTACCTAAAAACGAAGAGAAGAGAAAGTAAATACATCAAGCCAGATTGACAGGAATTTTGGAACATTTTCCATTACCCATTGAGAGTAATTTAAGTTTTTGTTTTGTTTTGCTAAAGAAAGGTCCTTTTGCCCGAGGTAAATATGTTAGGAGGGTCTTGTAATTAGTAGTGGTCTGTCTGTAAGTATAGAGTAAGCTGAGTGTTGGTTTTATTAACTAGAATAATTAAGAGGAGTTGTAGGATTTGATATTCTGCATTTTTAGGACACGAGGGAAAACCCTCCAGTGATATTAATGAGTATAACCTATGGTGAGCTCAGTTTGGGGCTGTCATGGGGATATCAATTTCAGTTATGTGCAGCTCATTGAAGCGATTTTTACATAAACAGATGGAAAGGTCTATGTAATCAAGCGTTGTGTGAGTCGTTTGGTCTAGTCAATGCACTTTTGTACATTATACAGTATATGTAATTATACAAGTAGTATTTATATACACAAATGCTTGGTTCATGTAGTTAGATTTTGTTCATCTTTTGTCTGGATGCTTGGTTTTTTTTGCGCTTTTTCTTTTCCTTTTGTTTTGCTGCAGAGGCCAGCGAGTTGGTCGTCAGTGCCTAATGAATGATGGATGATGCTTTGCTTTTGTGTCACGCGAAACAGCTTTGTGAATTTCTCTCTCTTAATCATACTATGAAATGAATTTATTTATTGAAATTATAGTGATGATCTTAAACATGTTACCCAAACGATTGAAACATTGTTTTTCTGCTGAAAAAGTGAAAATATTCAAATAAGACTTGTAAAAAGTAAACCATACTTTGTCAAGTCTGGGTTTAATTGAAGGAGTTTTTTCATTAATTTCTTCGTGACGTTTGACACTTTGACAGTTCGACTCTTCACCCATTTAGAATTTAGATGTTTTATGCTTCAACTTCACCAGAGATAGATATTTGGCAAAACATGACAGTCATGACGCTTATATGGAGTACTTCTCAATGCAAATTTACATGACATTTATACTTGACGGTGTCTGATTAATGACTTATGTTACTAATAAAGTCAAGCTAATCTTTCATATCTCGCTTGAAAGTAGAGTCTAGCTGTATATAGGGACTAGACCTGCGTCAACTAGTGAGAGATAACGTGGATACTTCTGAACAAAATCAAGTAAGGTACACAAATCAAGTAAAGAAGGAACAATCCTGTCAAGGAACAAAATAAATATTCACCATTGCAACAATACTTTGTACGAGTACAATTGTACACACAAAGTTTTGAACTTTATTCACACATATAAGGAGCTTTGATTTTCCAGGCAACTAATGTATTGATGCATTTATGCGTAAAGGGGCAAAAACACCCATGAAGTTGTCAACAAGGAGGATCTATGCCCACAAACTTAATTATTGGGCAAAAAACATTAACAAACCTGAAAATAGGGCAAAAAGGCCCTTTGACTAACGGAAACAACTTACTCCGTATTGTAACATCCATCCTTTAAATTGTTCACTTGGCTATTAATTATACCGGCCGTATAAACGTCAATGGGAAAAAGGGAATCCACTAAATTAATGCATCTTTATTGGGAAAACTGTCAAATAGGTCCTCGAACTTTCATAAAAAAGTCAATTAAGTCCTTCTATAGGAGACTCTGCCCGGTCGTCGCGATTTGGGGCGGTTCCCAGTGGATTTTTTTGATGAAATTTTTTGAGCATCTTATTCATCAAGTCTATTTTACTCATACCAAATTTCAGCTAAAAATTTAATCGGGAGCGCATTCAAATTAATTCGAGAACGCAAAAATGCGCAGTTATCTTCAAGAATTAATTTGAATGTGTTCCCGATTGAATTTTTAGCTGAAATTTGGTATGAGTAAACTAGACTTGGTGAATAAGATGCTCAAAAAATTTCATAAAAAAAATCCACCGGGAACTGCCCCAAATCACGACAGCCGAACAGAACCTCCTATAGAAGGACTTAATTGACCATTTTATGAAAGTTCGAGGACCTATTTGACTGTTTTCTTTCCCCATCTTTATTTGAACAAATAAACACTAGAATAATTCAATGGTTTGAGATTTAAAATACTTATTCCTTATAAAATCTCAATTGTATAATGTTTAATTTATATTTAGGATGTTTTTATTTTCAGTCCCAAACCAAACCAGACATGATTTAAACTGATCAGATCAGACTTAAACAGACCATACCAGATCAGAATAGCAAATACAGTCCAAATAAAAACATCCGTACTAGATAATGAGTACTAAATATCGTAAAATATCAAGCACTATCAAATACTACCTCCGTCCTAAAAAACATTGCCATATTTAAAACACTGACCAACTATATATTTTTATTAGAAATTACTTATAAGATAAAAAAATATGATACATAAATGTTTTTTTTATTAAAGGTACTTTCACGAAACTACAAAATACTTCCTGCGTTCACGAAACAGACCGGCCACTGCCATCAGTCGTCGGAATCCGTCGAAAATATCCAGAATGCACCCACCAACATTCTAACTTTGCCGCCGCTCGTCATCACCACCATCAAACTGCCTCACCACCAATAGATTGCTCCGGTTATGTAAGGGAAGTAGGGGGGATTAATTAATTAGATTAGAAGTGTTAAGGGTAGAAAGTTACTGTTTAGTCCTATTCACGGAAGATTTACATTTTACTCCTATTTGCAGGGATGGGGGAGGGGCGCAGGGGGCGATCGCCCGTTGCACTTTCAAAATTTTCTATTATATATAATATTTCATAAAATATTTATACTTCAAATACATATATATGTATTCGTCCCTTTTTGCAGGGATGTATTTATGGAATATTTTCATAAAATATTCATAAAAATTGCAATTGAAGAACAAGTTCTTTATTCCAATAAGATTCATGTTGTTAGACAAGACATTTTTTTTTATCATAATAAAGCGCCCATTATATTAAAATCAAGAACACATACAAGACAATCTTCAATCTTCAGACAGAGTTAGCAGATCAAATCATTGACCCTCGAAGTAGACTTAGAGTTAGTTACCTCATACAAAGCAACTTGCTAAATCTGAAACGGGCAAATTTAGGCCTAAAATGATAGGAACTGAAACCCAACCTATCAAAAGAATACCAAAAATCCAAACATCCAAAGCAAACCTACTCGGAATAAAATAAAAACAAGTACACTAAAGAGGAACAATGTCTTTGCACAAAACTAGTCCTGGTGTGGAGGAGATTATTTAAAAAGTAATGATAGATGTGTATCTTGTAAACTCTTTATCTTCAAATAATTTCATAAAATGTTATATATCTTTTTTTATTTTCAAATAATTTTTATTTGATTTGACATTTCTTACGCTTTAATGTATCAATACTTTTTTCTAGAGGACTTCAATTACAAAATCAAAGATATTTTTCTATAGCCTAAATTTAGAATCTAATAGATTTAAATATTGTCATGTATGTATTAATGGAATTTGTTTTTGAAATTAAAAAATAGCCGCAGAGCTCTATAGTAGCGGAAAAAATTACGTCCCCTTGACTCAAAATCCATCCATCTCTACCTATTTGTGCAATTATGTTAAGGTTTAGAAGCTGTTCTCTTCACCTGATCTGAATGTTTCTGATCTGAATTTTTTAAGTTCTGATCTGATCTGATCTGAATTTTTCTGATCTGATCTGATCTGATCTGAATCTTTCTGATCTGATCTGAATGTTTCTGATCTGATCTGAATGTTCCTGATCTGATCTGAATGTTCCTGATCTGATCTGAATGTTCCTGATCTGATCTGAATGTTTCTGATCTGATCTGAATCCTTCTGATCTGATCTGAATCTTTCTGATCTGATCGGATTTGAATATTTCTAAAATTATAATTACAATTATAATTACTATAATTATAAATGTAATTACACATATATAATTTAAATATAATTATAATTATAATCATAATTATAAAAATTATAATTATAATTACAAACATAATTATAATAGATATAATTATTATACGTATTACACTAGTTATAAATATAGCTATAATTATAATTGTAATTATATTTATAGTTATTTTTATTTCTATAATTATAATTATAATATTTATTTCTATAATTTTAATTGTAATTACTCCGTATAATATGATAATAATGAAAAAAAACTAATAACAATAACAACAACCATATTAGTAGTAAGAATAATAATAATCATGATAATAATAAATATCATCATCATAATAATAATCATAGTAATCATAATAATAATAATAGTAATAATAAGAATAATAATAATAATAACAATAATAATAACAATAATAATAATAGTAATAATAATAATAATAATAATAATAATAATAATAATAATACTAATACAAATAATAATATTAATTATAATAATTGCAATAACAACAACAAGAATAATAATTATAATTATTATAATTATTATAATTTTTAAAAATATTATTACAATTATTATTATTATAATAAAAAGGATAAATCATGTCTGAACTTTTCTGATCTGATCTGAATGTTCCTGATCTGGTCTGAATGTTCCTGATCTGATCTGAATGTTCCTGATCTGATCTGAATGTTCCTGATCTGATCTGAATGTTCCTGATCTGATCTGAATCTTTCTGATCTGATCTGAATCTTTCTGATCTGATCTGATCTGATCTGAATTTTCCTGATCTGATCTGATCTGATCTGAATAAAATAAGAATAAGCAATAAGTAATAAGATTAAGACAAACAGAACAGCTTCTTAGTCCTGTTTAGGATGATTTCCCAATTCAATGTACAAATACTTGTGTGACATTAAAACTACACATTCTTAGTTCTGACTTTTTTAAAAAACAATTTATTAAACAAGTAAAAAATTAAATTATTCTAGCATTAGAACAAATATAAATGGTACCATCTATAAAAACTCGAAACATTATGTTAATCTAAAATAAATAGGAATTTTTTTTGGAGAGCACATATGATGATTTGGGTATCAAAATCTTCCAGGTTTTATGCATCACAAGCTACACTTTTAAAGAAATACGGAGCAATATCAAACATAGCACACTAACATATGAAGTACTCCGTATTTGTTTTATATACGGCCTGTATAAATCCAACCGAACAAATTTAACTTATGCATGTGTTTAGGGATGGCAATGGGGCGGATCGGGGACGGTTTTACATATAACCGTACCCACCCCGTTTGGTAATTCCCCCGCCCCATAACCGCCCCATTATCCAACGGGTAATTTTTACCCAAACCATAACCGCCTCATCGGGTAACGGGTATAACCGCGGGTAACCGCGAGTAACCGCGGGTAATCACTTTATTAAATGAGTCATTGATATTTTAATAAAAATAATATTTTAAAATGCAAAAAATGACATCACCTAGACGACGCTAGACTCATACGCTACTTTACAGCTTCATATATCTATAAGACGAGAAAGAAGACAACCTAAATTAATTTGAACCTATAAATACTTAACCTGAAAAATAATTAATCACGAAAAATCATATAATAATCAAACAAAACTATTAAGTTCTATTGAGAACTTTCATTCTTACACTACAGTTAGTACATCTATTATCCATATATACACAATGAACATTAAAAATCTCATCTTTTATTAGTCGTGGGACAAATAATAGATATATAAGAATGTAATAAAAATATAACTAAAAATAAACGGGGCGGGTAATGGGGCGGGCATGCATAAAACCGTAACCGCCCCGTTACCCGTAAAAACAAAACGGGTATTCCCCGCCCCGTACCCATTACCCGGTCAATGCGGTTTTCCCCATTTTGACTGGGGCGGTTCGGCGCGGGTATCCATTGGATCGATCACAATTGCCATCTCTACATGTGTTAACTTACTTCCGTTAGTTAAAGGGGTTTTTTGCCCTCTTTTCAGGCTTTTTAAAGACATTTGCTCAAAAATTAAGATTGTGGGCATAGATCTCTTTAGGGACAACTTTAAGAATGTTTTTGCACCTTTTCCCAAAATCCCTAACCCCAAACATTTATGTATGAAAAGGCACAAACCAAAGCCTTTTCATACTCGCATATAAGCGTTGTTAACAAAAATACTTGCTTAGATATATATTACCTCACACATGTAATCGCTGCCTATTACCTAACTTCACAAATCAATATTGTCTCGTTATTTGAATGAGGCTCAATGTGCACAAAAAATGGTACCCCGTACTACTTTGTGTGCAAATGATTTTTCCCCTCTAGTAGAGATGATGACCACATACAGGTTTTAAATAAAGTATACCTGTAATCACAACAACGTCATCACAATCCTCTGGCGGAACCGATCAAATCACAATTTTTCAGTTGTAAAACTCATTCCAAAAATTGAATTCATGTTCTCATTATTGTTGTACCTATCCAAAATACGTACTATATCATGGTGCAACCTAATTACCACCATTGAATCCTCTTCTTTAAGGTTGCAATCATCCATCAAGAACGGTTAATCAAGTTATTTCATTTAAAAAATGTAGGTACAAAATAAAATATTAAAATTCAAGACTTGGTTCTCCTCTTAAAAAACAAAAGTTTGAAAGCTAGAGAAAGTTTTAATTAGATTTGTGCGACAGTTTGCAAAATTACTTTCCATCTCATTATTCAACAAATGTTATACGGAGTATACATTTTAAAATCATAGAAGAAACAACTTAAAACCGTAAGCAAAAGTTCCAAATACTTTTATCTTATGATTTTTTTTTTAACATGTGAACCCTCCCATAAATTCCAATTATCTCAGAAGTCAGAACTAACGATTTCTTGTCATTTTATTTGTTATTCTTTGAAACTTACTTTCCTCTTAATTTCATTAAATTCAAAAAATGCTTACGGCCATTTTTTAAAACCATTATTGAGTCAATCTCCCTTTTTGTATAAAGTTTTAATTTTTTATTTAGAAAATGTACGCGCATCAATGGTTCCATTTTAACATTTTTTCCGAAGTGCAACGCACATGTTTTGTCCCGTTACTATATCGAGTCCGCCAAATTCTTCTCTTTAGAGTTTGTTTTGGCAAATTATATTATACGGAGTATCGATTTTTTATAATATCCATAATTTAGTCGTGAAGCCACCCAAAATTGGAAAACAATTTTTAAAGTACTATGAGCGATGTAGTAATTGATGGTAACATAAGAATCATAAATGCTAAATGTAAAAACAAAATAAGCATTCTAATATACTTTTAAATGTTTTATCTTTTCATTTAACCGCTTCAATTTTTTTAACAGTTTTAGTTAAATATAATGATCCTATTCCTAGTGTTCCATATTTTTGGAGTAACTTTTTTCCATGATAATACACATAATTAAATATTTATGATTAAAATAAAGATTATTTACAAAAATGTAAGTAATGACTAAGTGACCATGATACTATATTGTAGTAACTATCAATCATATTTGTGTAAATAAGTCTTATTTTAATTATATATTTAAAAAAACTCTATATCTTGGATAATTTGGCACATTCTACCTCTATTTTGACCTCACTTTAAGTTGAGTTTGGCCACGAACTAATATTACATAATAATATGATTTGAATTTGTTTAATTTGATGCGATATAATCTAACTTAACCTAATTCTTTTGATGTATTTATTAAAGTGTTTTGTTCTAGCTTGTCATTCCTAATCTATATATTTGATTTATTACTTTTATAGAAATTTTCTTTATAAATACATAACTTTTGATTTTAATTTCACCATCTAAATTAGATAAAGCTATATAATGTTGAAGTTATTTGTGTGACTACATTGACTTAATTTGCACAATTATAACTTTGTTTCATATACTCCAATCTTTGTTTTATCAATATCAATAAAAATTAAGTGTAATACGGAGTATATTTTAGACAAAAATTCATAATTAAACAAATTCAATCATTTTTCTTTTTGGAGAGAAAATTCAATCATTTTAACCCGAAGTTAATCAATTTTCAAAAGAATCAATCATTTTATTTGCTCCAAATCTTTGATGTGGTGACAGCTAGCCATCCTATATTTCAAAAGAATTCTTCAAAGCATAAAGCGACGGTCGGAGGTCTGTAATTACGGGAAAGGTTAGCAAATGGCCCGACACAAAGCCGCGATCTCCGGCTTCTCATGTCGCACTCGTTCCTTTATATCGAGCCAGTCGGTCCGGCTTTCTCCATCGCGTGAGACACGAGTCAAACTAAGAAAATAATATCAAGACTAAAAAAAGAATAAAAAAAACACCCGAGTAGCTCTACCGTAGCTGAGTAAGGTTGTTGAATTGAGGTTTCAAGTCCAATTTTCAATAGCACCCGTGACCCGTGCGAGAGTTTAATCTAATATGGTGACTCCTTGTGTGCCCCAGGCCCTGAATCACTTCACTAAAAAACCGTTTAAGATAAACCGTGACGTAGGCATTGTTTGGATATCGGGGTGGAGCAAAATGCCATTTTCTACAAAGAAAACGTTGCTATTAATAGCGTGTTGCGCACAAATGCTGGAATCCAAATAACCCCGTAGGCCGTAGTCTTACACCATTCTGTCAGATCGGTGTTGGGATGTTTTTACTTAGACTGTTTTTCAGTCCTAGACCAGACTCAAACAGACCAGGCCAGACTAAAACGTACCAGACCAGACCAGACCAGACCAGAAGTGATTTTCGTGGTTATAAAACACACAAAGTCCAGACTTTTATCATACCAACCAGTTCAGATAAAATCAGATAAGACTTAAACGGACCAATCCAAACCACACTTAAACAGACCAGACTAGATTAGCAAATTATCGTCCAAGTAAAAACAATAAAAACAAGGAAAAATTCACATGAATAATCCGAACTATTAAAAGTCTTCCAATATTAATCCAACATATGGATTATTCTAATATAATTTGAACTTTAAGGGTAACATTCTCAAAATGATCCCTTGACTTGCATTAACCAATTCACCCGGTTACCCAGAGGCGTGTTTTATTTTTATTGGCCATAATTTTCCTCTTTTCTTTTCTTTCTTTACTTACCCTTTTCTTCCCTTCCATTTCTTCTTTCTCGTGAAAATTTTCTTCCCTTCCATTTCTTCTTTCTCGTGAAAATATTCTCCCTTTTCTTATCTTGGATACAACTTAGCCAACATCTTTTTTATCAGTTTAAAATCTATCATTTAATAACCTCTGTCCCAGTCCCTTAATGGCACTCGAATGGTTAATACAAAAGAATTAAAATTAGTCATGGTTGCACCGTCTGGTTTTCTTCTACCTCCGTTTGTCACTTCGCTAGTTCGCTGACTCGGGCTTTGATTCTATCAGTCTCTACACGGGACGACGGTTTGAAATTTACCACCGCTTAGGAGGAAGTGGGTGTGTGTATAATGTTGTATTGATGCTAAGCTTTCTCAAACGGACATGAGAAGCGAACGGACATGAGAAGCGACTATGATGAACTGGATAGCTAGATGATGAAAACGAATGTCACCTAAATCTAGTCTTCTCACCATCCTCTATCTCCAATTTGACGAAAATATTTCTCCTCTACCGGACTGTATCCTAACGACACCGGTGTCAGGAGAGAGCTCAATATTTCTGATGTCTCTTGAAATCAGCCACCAGATTCAAAGTGCTAATGTTGCAATTGAACAAGCCGAAATAAAATAAAATAAAAACACGAGAAGGGTGAAATCCAAATCACAAACTTAAAATTTGAGGATGAAAAAAATCAATCTTTAAGAGAGAAAGGAGTTTGATTTCGAATTTGGATGTGCTGGCATGATTTAGAGGAAAGGAAACCAACCGACAGGCTATCCAATGCTAGGAGCTTAATTATTCACTTTTTTACCGGTTAAACAAGTTGAAGGTAAATAGGGATCAATATGGGAAGATACTCCCTCCATTTCGGATTATTCTGGAATTACTCGTATTTGGGATTAATATTAGAAGATGGCTAATAGTTCGGATTATTTATGTGAATTTTTCCTAAAAACAATACCTTTTGGATAGAGTCAACCCATTTGGCACTGTACTTTGACGCGCGTGCCCGCAAAGCTCGAGGAGTCGCGTTTTCTCCGCCCCAGCTTTTGCTTATTCCTTTCCCACTTTCTCAATGCCGTTTTGATATGCTGCAGCCTTTTTGCCCGCTCCACAGAAAAGCAAAGGGGTGAAATCACTCTGTTCACACTCTGCCTCTCCGCAGCTGAAAACCCTAAATTGAAGGAAAAGTGATGGGAGAAGAAAAGGGGTCGTCTCTAGTTCATTTGCTGGTTATTGTTTTGAGCCTGACCGCCTTTGGGTTCTCAATCGCCGCCGTTCACCGCGGTAGCACTGTACAAACTACTCATCTCCTTCTTTCTTCATATGTGTGTGTCTGTGTTTTTGGTTGTTGAAGTGAAAGTTGATGTTACGATTGCTTGGGATTTCAGGGCTTATTTTTGTGGTTGAATTAATTTTTACAGTGATAAAGGTTTAAGCTTTGTAGTTAACTGGAACGATTAGCTTTAGTAATTTGATAAAGGTTTAAGCTTTGTAGTTACTCATCATTTATTCCGAAAATTATGTAGTTCTTCGCTTTATAACACGAGTGATTTTGGACATTGCAGTGGAAACTGAATATGTTTTTCTAATGCGCTAATTTTCAATATTATTACTTGTTAAAGGCGAAAGTTTGGGGCGAAGTGTGTGTCTTCTTATTATAGACGCGCCTTTGTTTCAGAATCAATTTAGAAGATGCAACCAAAAATTATTTAGTAGCAGCCAGTTCTTTTTAAAGTTTTAGAACCTCTACTCAAATCACTCAAATGGGAGTTTGTGTGTGTGGCCAAAATGTTAGGGTGAGACAGTATAAAGAAATTTTCATAAGATTATTAGCTAAATATATCCCCCAACTAATCAACTATCCTCAAAATCACAAGTCTATCCAATACTTTCACTTTTATTAAAAAAAACTCATACTTGAACTTTTCTCACAATGACACTTTTTCAATGGATGAATTAGTAAAAGCTAAGAAGGAAGTCATATTTATATTTCATACTTTTCACTTCTTTCTAGTTTTAAGTTTACAAACTTGTAGTGCTTATATCTTATTGGTATTGATAAAAATGTGTAATCTTGAAAAAAAAAGATTATCATAATTGTTGAAAAAGATGAAGTCTGAGTCTTTTTTTGATAGAAGTGAAAGAATAGGATAAATTTGTGAATTCGATGATAGTTTAAGATAAAATAAGCTAATAATCCTTTTTCGTATATCTTTTACACATTTTTTAAGGCACAAAACATAAGACTTTTACCGACAGGCCCGGGTTGGCTCCCCTAAATACACCCCTGCTTAGCGGAGACAAGGAGGTGCTAATGCGATTGAGGGGGATGCAGCCCCTAATTTTTTCTTAGTGTGTGTGTACAAATACATATCTAACTTATAAATTTAGGTTGAAATTTTCAAGGTCTGGCTCCACCTAATATGATATTTCTGGCTCTACTATTGATGACCTGTGTGTATGTACATTTTTTTAAGAAATTACAAAAAGGCTACAGGTCTGTTCAAAACGTATTGTCCAGTTAAACTCTAGAAAATGACTATACCTTACGTTTATGCTCGAACTAGTTAGACTGTAGCAAGTATGATTATCTCTATTTTGGGGAGTAAATACCGTTATGTTTTGTGAACATGTGATATCTGATACAAGTATACAAGTATACAACAAAGATGATCAATTAGACTCACAATAAACACATCCATCTAAAGGGCCTCAATCAAGAAAATTAATTTGTCTGTTCTAGTAAAGTTTGCCTATCCCAAGCTAGCATACATGTGTTCCTTCCAAATGGCTGTTAATTATGATGAAATGGTACCTGATCCACTTTTTCTGTTGCCTAGTTGAATCCTCAAATACAAATTTTATATGAGCAAACTTAAATAAAATAAACATGTCTACTTGAAATCAAGAAATAAAAACTTTTTGTTTGACTGCAATTTATCCCACCCCTCACATGTATGATGTTCTTTTGAACTGGATATAAAACACACAACCAAAAATGAAAGAAAGAAAAAGGTATATACTTTATTAAATTGTATACAGAGAGAGTGCATCCACATTGTAAGAGTTGTTGTTTCTTTGTTGCAGGGTACAGTGGTACACTACATCGTGATGTCTCTTCCAATAGTACATACTGTGTTTACAGTTCAAATGTTGCCACTGGATATGGCGTGGGCGCTTTCCTCTTTCTTTTTACAAGTGAGTCATTGGTTATGGGTGTGACCAAGTTCATGTGTTTCGGAAGGCCTCTATTCCCTGGCTCAAATCGTGCTTGGACAATTATTTATTTTTGTCTATCATGGTGAGTGACTAATTGCCTCCCCTTTTCTTATGCCATGTTGCAATCCAGTTTATAGTAAAGAGGTATTGTTGCTTCAATTTTTATATTTAGTGTATTGTTTTTAAAAAAAGGCATCATACTGCATATTATTATGTTAGTTACTGTAAGCCTCTCTCCCCTCTTAGGGAAATAAGTCTGCCCACCACCTTAGGCCAGTAAGCCAAGCCATTTTCGACATCAAAATCTTTATTTTTTCAGCTGTGGACCTAGGGATGACAATTGTATCAGATCCAATGGGCTGAAATCCAATTTTATTAACTGATAAGCAAGAATGAATCCTAACAAGGGGTTTAAATACCCATCTACTAATTCCCAAACTAGCAAACAAGATAATAGAAATCCTAATCAACTCCAAATATGAAATAGAATAGTAGAGATCCTAATCAGCTCCAAATAGGAAACAAATCAGGAAAATTATAAAGAATAAAAATTAATTAAACGGCCCACAACCCTTCATGAAGGTGGGGGGCTCAAGCCCGTCCCCGCCTTCAGTAAACCCACTGGGGCCTCTGCTCCTCTTCCTCCAAGCCCAGCTCCTGCTTTATATCATTACGGAGTATTTGATTTTTTTCAATTCAAGTATTTTATGGCTTAAATTAATTCAGGTTACCTTCTTTTTCTGTTGGTGCACGAGTGATTTTTATATTAAAATATCATTGACGCATTTAAGTATGCGGTTACCCGCATTTATTATACCCATTATGGTTGGGGTCGGGGCAGAGAATTTACCGAGCGGGTGTGTACGTAGTCAGGAGTATAAATTAAACTGGGCCGGAACAAAAAAAAAGAAGTCAAATAAATTTTCACAAAAAAATTATGCCCATATATTCCATTCTTTGTTTAAATTTGGGGTGGATCATGGCCCCCATCTCTAGGTGTACCTCTACATGCTAATACATTGTGCTCAAATAGACTGTGTTAACATTTTTCTTAAATACGTAGATGTTTTGTTAAAAAAACTTATACCTTGGCTTTAGTAGCAATTCCAAGCAAAACTTGTTACTTGTTTCCCCCTGAACTTGCTTAATGCTAACATGAAAATCTTCCACTCCTTGATTAGAAAAAAATGATATGATGGACTTTGAGTTGCAATGAATCATGAAGTATGTGTTTTTATTTAATCTTTTTTTAGTCAGATGAGCTTAATGAGCTCTAGTCTGGAATTAAGATTTGATATTTCATTCCAAATTATTAATATGACAGGAGTTGTCAATTTACCTAAATGTTGGTTTGTATCCTCATCTTTGCTTATTGGAAGAATTTCTTGTAGGAATGTATTATTTATAAATAGTCACAAGTTATTGTTGATATGTCTGCAGGGCGAGCTTTCTGATCACAGAAACATTACTTATTGTTGGTTCTAAGAAAAGTGGTTTTCACACCAAGCATCAAGGGATGGTACATGCGAGAAACTTTTCTTGTGAAACACTTCGCAAAGGTGTATTCATATTTGGAGCTATCTGGGTGATCCTAACCATGATTCTTAATGTGTATTACTACATGTACTTCTCCAGGGCTACTACTTCTCAACCAGCCCCATCTAAACCAAATTTACCCATGTCTGAACTGAGAAAGTGAGACCATAGTCATGCTGGCCTAACTTACCATCACTACAGTGAGACCATTGAACAGAATAGTTTTGACTTTTTGGTCTTGCTTTGTTGATGATGATGTGGTAGTAATGTAGTATAGTGATTCTTGCCGAAAAATCTTGCAAGTTCTAATACCATATGGAATCACTCACATTGATGCTTTGTGACATATTTTGTGTGTACTTTAGCATCGTTTGCATATGGTTCTACCAGAGAGAACTGTTTTGCATATATCATCATCATCATCAATAATACTGAACACTTGTTAAAAAGTTCATAAAAATATCTTTTCGATTAATTGTACTAAACATGCCCTATGCTTCAATGCCTCGTGCATCGGTGCTATACTACGTATTTATTCATAGTCTTAAAGCAATAAAAGTGAATTCCCAAATAATTGAACTATTGAAGTACGTAGTATATCGCTCGTAATTATGATGCCGCTGTTTTTTTAGGAAGATACCACTGTTGAAAAATGAGAACTAATGAGTTTTTTTTTTGAACATCCCATCAATTTATTGATTAAATAAGAGTACAATGAGTAGGAGGGCTATACCAAAGCCTACTCGAAAATTACTGAACATACGGGTAGCTTATCGCATCAAACTTAAGGATACCCACAAAGTGATTAAAATTAAAGGTATTGGTTCTAATCAGAGTGTTTCGGTATGCAAGATACTCAGCCGCACTATTCACCTTAGGATGGATATATGTTATCGTCCAATTACATGCTCTTAGGTGTTGTTTTATAGCTTGGATTCTTGACCAATATTTCCAGTGCTGAAGTGAAGATCCCACAATACCTTCAAAGATTTCCTGATTGTCCACCTCCAAAACAAAGTTAGAAATAATTAGTGCTCTTAAAAAGCTGGATGAAATAGGGGAGAGAATCGTAAGTAGCCATGGTGTTATGTGTGTGTTTGGTGTAGTAAGTCGCATGACCAATGTAATTGACAACTAATGAGGTAATTAAACAGTTCGGAACGAACTTTTTTTTCAAAATATGAAAGTCATATTTTGACTTAATGGACAATTGTTGAAGTTTGAACTATATAGATGGTGTAAATAAGCACACACGAATGGTAAGATTTTAAGTAGCAAAATGAAAATTCCCTTGTGTAACATAGTCTTGGACCCGGTTCGGGCCGCCCGGCCCGGGATGCTACTGTGCGGGACCGGGACCGGCCCGGTTCTCGGGTCCGGGTCGGGCCTAGGCTCGGTGGGGGGGGGGGGGGGGGGTCCGGGCTCGAGTCTTATATTTGGCGAACCGGCCTGGCCGGGTCGGGCCCGGACCGAATTGTTTATTATTTTTATTTTTATTTTTTTTCTTTTTTCCATTTTTGGGGTTCCACCCGGGTTGGGCTTGATCGTTAGGAGGGGTTTGGGGGGTTTAAGGGTGGGGGGGGGGGGGGGGGGTGAGGGGGGGGGGGTGAGGAAAGCAAAAAAAATATATATAACCAAACCGGAGGCCTGGCTTGGGTCTATGACTAGTGTAACTCGGTTATCACTTCCCCAAAATGAATGTGTACTCCGGGTGTGTTTAGAACTGCTTCTGCTTCTTGTTTAAAGAAGAATCAGAACCACTTTTCAAAATCTGGTCACCCTCAGCTTCTAAAAAAATTGATTCTAGGAGCAAATTTGAGCACTAGAATCACTTTCGCACTTCACCCAAACACTCAAGCTTTTACTTCTGCTCCTTGAAGAAGCAGAATCAGTTTTAAGAATCAGATTCAAACACCCATTCCGTAAGTCCGTAGCATTTACCAAATTACAAAAGAATGCTAAAATTAGAAAGAACTTGACGATGGCCACATTCTTCGGGATTCTCAACTCTCAAGGGTAAATGAAGACGAGTTTATTGCAAGAATACTTATAGTATATGTTAAATAAATTTTCATATGGGTGTATAGTTTTTTAAGCACATTTGGGTGAATAATTAAGATTTTTAGTGCAGAATATATTAAAACAGAGCCCCGTTTGAGTCAGGAGCTCTTGACCAGAACCGCCGTGCAAAATTCACTATTTGTAGTGAATTTTTTGATGATTTTTTTGACCATGTTCTTCATCAAGTCTAGTTTATTCCCATCATATTCAGCTAACAATTCCTCACTCGCTCTAATTTATCTTACGATGACTGATGACATTAAAACGTTTAACATTCTTTCGGTCACTAGAAAAAAGATTCACTTCTCACAAAAAATAAATTAATACTCCCTCCGTCCCCCTTATTGTACCGTTTTACCTTTTCGGGAAGTCCCACTTAAATTGTCCCATACCATATTTGGTAAAGTTTGTGTGGCTCAAAATCATTCTTACTTTATTCTTACTTTATCATTTAATATCAACCACACAAACCCACTATTCTTAAAACTCGTGCCACCCTCTTACGTCCCAATGTAAAAGGGACGGAGGTATTAGTTGATTAGCATTTATAATATCACATAAAGTATCGAAAGAAAACTAAATGAGTCGGTGGTACAAATGTTGTAAAATTCACAATTTTATTCAAATGAATCATTTAAATATATAAACATCACTTGCTATTGTTATCGCCAAACATCTTTTCATATAGGTAAAATACATTATATAACAAATACAAATATGTCGTTTTTGCTAACTTTGTCGTCATAATGAATGTATGAAATGTTTAAAAGTTAAAATGACATTTGCTAAACATGTATTAATCATATCTAAACTATTTATTTATATCCTAAAGATGAAGAGTAAAGATAAATACAAAGTATTTTTTTATATATTTTACAAGTTGTTCGGTGTTGGGCTCAGTTTACAGTGTTGGGGTTTTAAACCAAATCAAACCAAACCATTCAGTTTAAAACAAATTGTTACCATACGGTTTACTTAAGTAACCTCAAACCAAACCAAACCAAACAATCAATTTTCGGTTTAGTTTGGTTCGGTTAAATCAAACCATTTTGCCTAGCCCTCTCTATTTAGTAATGACTTAACTCATACCAAACATAAAAAAACATGTAGTCATATTCTAGGAAAATTAATGCGTTTTAGTAATATTAGTGTATGTTTCACTAGTTTCTCCTTGAGGGAGTATAATGTAATTTTAGTCAGTGTCTTAAATAATAATGCATGCATGTTATTAATTGAACTCTTTTTAGTATCCAAATCAAACTCCATTAGAATTAAACAGATCCGATCATGATATATAAATAGACCAGATCAAATTTAGACAATTATGAATCGGTAACAAATTAGATTTAAATAAATGGAACAGAGAGAAACTTTACTCCAATTAGAAACGGACGTTCTTTCTTCGCGCACCTCATATTATGCTAAGCGCACCTCTTTTGTTCGAGTCTTTGACACATTTATCCTCTAATTATGCTTCGCGCATCTCTCTATGTATTTCGGAGCACAGAGTAGTAGAGTACTCCGTATGTTTAATACTCCGTATATAAAAAACACACTCCCTCATTCTGTATATCATTATCAGTTTATCACCGTTCATTTATTTTGATTTTTTAATTAATGGGCCCCCTTCCATTGCTTTTTTAAAATCAAAATAAGTTTAATACTTCCTTAAATTTTGTGAAGCATTATCTCTAAAAAACAAGTGTCTTTAAAATATATTCAAACACCTAATGAAAATTATATCAAAATGTTTCTTTTTCAAAATATTTACGTAAAAGTATAAAATTTATAAATTATACAGAGTATACAAGGGTAAGGTTCCAGTGAGAATGATAGCTTAGGAGAGAAATAAGAACAAATCACATCCATCTAAAATTAGATTTCTACGGTATAGATTTAGTTTTTAACGGTGGCATAAAAGAAATTAGGCAGAACTTTGGACAACTAACGGCTCTAACTTAACGTTAACATAACTTTAAAAAGTAAACAATATGGAGTATTTAATTAATTACTATTAATAACCCACTATCCACAACAGTGATATGAATTCTAAAAAACACGTGTGAAGCAATACTTTATGCCTTTGTAGATTTTAATTGTCCTAATAGTGTAATTGCATTATGAAATATTTATTCCAAAGTATGCAAATATATTATTAATCTTGTAGTGAACTCGTATAGCAAAATAATGTATTTTTGTCATTAACTATATTATTGTGCATTTATATATTCTCATTAATTGTATCATTATATATGCACTAGTATTGGAAGATTCTGCACTTTTATCATTAACTTGCATACACTTCAAAGTAAAGAAGATTTTAAAAATATTATTGTGTACATTTATCATTTGTATTTGCACATATGATCTTAATCAAAGCATTTGCACGTTAGGATACGGTTCTGATGAGAACACTCTTTAACGTGAGAAATGAGAGCGCTCTAAAATGTTGCACTTTATCGTGCATGAATATGCACATTTATTGTTAAAGTAATGCAAAATTCAAATGTGCACATTTACGTTTAAACTTTTGCACAATTGAAATACACATTTTTTAATTTTTTATAAGCACATTTCTGTTTTGCATGATGTACGATATTCAAATCCAACGCCCCAGAATTATTCTCATTTCTCTCCTAAGATGATGTTCTCATATGATCCTTATTTTGCATGTTATATATTAGCAATTATGTATTAATATATTTTCTTCTTCAGATATGAGAAAATTAAATGAAAAGCTTATGCACTTGAGCAACTTTATTGTTCAAGTGGTGCACTCATATTGAAAAACTTTTGCACTTTTATTACATATCAATGTGTAATTACATATTTATAAATATATAGCACGTTTAGAAATATGATTTGTGCACTGTTATTTTATGCACTATCTATTTTTAACTAAACTGTAACGCACTTTAGTTTATGCTATTACTACTTTTCGCAATATATTAATTATGTGATTTTGATAACGTCATCAAAGACATCTCATCCTCTAGAATCATAATATATTTTATTCTTCACATATATACGATAAAAATGAATATGCAACATTATTGATTAAAAGTGCACTCATATTGTAAAGTGTATGCACTTTTGTCACTAACATTATGAATGTACAATTACGTATATCACGCTTAGAGAATTACGGAATATTTTTTGTGCATTTTTATTGTTTTGTATGCACATTTATTTTTAATCAAATTTTTGGTTGTTGCACATTTTATACTATTAATATTTTAACAATATATCAAATTTTTAAAAACAACCCTTTTCGAGATGAGTCATAATATATTTTCTTCGTCAAATGAAAATGAATATGCAAGTTTATCATTCTAATAGTGCACTTAAATTGCAAAATTATGCACTTTTATCTTTAACTATAGTTGTGTGCACTTACGTACTCAAAACTAAATATGCACTTTTAGTAACATTATTGTGCACTTACATACAAATGTGCA